AAGATGTGAACGACGAAGATATAGTTATTTACTTCATGATATGCTGCAAAACCTAATTAATCACGAATTTCTAATTTTATGTACTCTTGTCTTCGATTGTACCTCCCAAAAATCCTTAAAAAAAATAGTCTTTTTTTTTGGCCCAGTCTAGTATAGATATAGCAAGTCAAGTAGATTTATACTTTAAAAAATACTTACATAAATATAAACTTTTACTACAAACCTTTCCATTTATTCTTAAAATTCTTTTTCCGGATGTAGTTCCGTGTTCAAATTCGATACTGTAAGTACCATCGGGAAGAGGTACACTCCAAAATGCTACCAAGTCGTTTCTATTTTTGGAGATTTTATTAATATTGTTACTTTTTTTTGCCATTGTTCTTATTTTTAAAAACACATCATTACGTACTACATGTTTATTTCCTATTTTCTATACAATATTGCCGTACTGCGCTACATGCAATGTTTAATCGCAAGCTTTACAATTGTTTGTATTTGTCAACTCCTAGCACCCTTAAAAACGCTTACGTACTAGGAACGTATCTTAAGCACGTATAAAATCGATATTTTTCAACGTTACTGAATGCTACGGACTTTATTATTAATAAACGATATGAATTAATTATCTAAACTAAAGTAACATATTCTAAATGATAATGTTTATTGTTAATAAGAAATTTTAAATCAAAAGCATACAGTGTGTCTACTTAAGTCGGCAGCTTATGGGAAACTTTTTTATTATTAATCTTACGAAAAAAAGTTAGTCTTTATAAAAAGTCCTGCATGCTCTAAAATACATAGAGACATGAACATACTTACTTAATAATTTGTCAGTCATATACAAGTTTTGGCATAAAATATGAAATTTGTATAACAGTAAAGTACTTTTATTTTTGAAAATAGCAGAAACCTTTATAAAGAAAAGTTGTTGAGAATTAAAAAATAGTTACAAATATGTAGCCATATCTATCAATTGGTAAAATTATGATTTTGTATACTTTCTTCATACTCTTGCCCTANTACTTAAATTGGCAACATAAGGGAAACTTTTTTAATAATTTGTCAGTCATATACAAGTTTTAGCACAAAATATGAAATTTGTGTAACAGTAAAGTATCTGTATTTTTAAAAATAGCAGAAACCTTAATAAAGAAAAGTTGTTGAGAATTAAAAAATAGTTACAAATATGTAGCCATATCTATCAATTGGTAAAATTATGATTTTGTATACTTTCTTCATACTCTTGCCCTATACAAGTGAATATTTAAACATGCACGTAAACAATAATACAATTTTGATCAAAGATGCCGTGTAAATGGCATGTTTATATTTTAGATTTTTTAGAATTTTTTTATTCACTTCTGGTAATAAAAGTAATCGAAAAGTAACGCTAAACGATTTTGGCTTTTTTCCAGTAATTTGTCGATAACTTTTGTTTTGCGGCACCCTAGGTATGCATATATAGAAAGGAAAGGTCTTTAAGAAACAAACTTATTTTATACATATGTACGACCAACGGTGACCTAAAGGTGTCATTATTCAGAGTTGAGCATTTTTATTTTTTTTTTAATATTTAGCGAGTAAATGTTGGAGTTCAGTAAAACAACAAAAACTGGATGTAATATTAAAAAAAACTTACAAACCAAAAAAAACATCCAGGGGCGCATAATAAAATAAATTAAGGGCGGGCCTACAGGCTGGGAACGGTGGGAATTTCGGAAAACGTAGGCTGCAAAAATTTATTTATTATGTGATTTTTTGCTTGTATAAATGGTTTATTTAATACTATATCCTGTTATTCTTGTTTTATTGAAATTTAAAAGAAAAATATGTAGGAGTAAATGCGTTAAAAAATTGCGAACAATTGACGGTATCTCGGTCACCCTTGGTGATAAGGATAAAAGAGAAAAGAAATTTCTTTGATTGTTCAGGACCTTTTTTTATTTTTGAAAATCTATATCCATATACCTAAGATGTCGCGAAAAAAGTTATGGTCGAATTACTGAAAAAAGAAAAAAAAGCCCCCTCAGTTCAGTAATACGAGTAGTAGTTTGTGATTATATCTATCATTTTTAAGTGTCAAACTAAACCTTAAAAACCCTTCGATGCAGTTGTTCCTTACTCAAAAACTTACTTGATAGCACATCGATAGCCTATTATTTCTAAATGTAAAATATTTGTAAACAATAGTGAGCATTGGAAAAAGTGACATTTTATTAGCAGAATTCGATATTGACAGTTTTGCAAGGTTTGATTAGAGAGCAATCGTTTTGGTATTTTATAAAAAAAGATGTCAGATTATAAGATTCCTAAACCTAAATTAAGAGATTTGGTGACTCAGAAAACAAAACGAATACTACCGACAGCTTTAATTCTTGCTTTATCAGCCGGAATGACTTTCAAAATGACTTATGGTAGAAGTAAAAAGGAGGTTTATAGGAAGTGGTATGCAGAAACGGATCAGGAAGAAAGATTTAAAAGAATTGCTAAACGTGGCGTTTTTGACAGTGTTCCAGCAAAATAATATACTTTTACATTTGTAATAGTAGTAATGTGTAGGTGACAAATAGATAAATTCTAAAGGTTTTTGTTTTTTTAATAAACGATTCCAAAAATGCCAAAGTGATATTTTTTTTGAAGGCAGTTAATTAAACTTCCAAGAAAAATAGTTAAGTGATACGGAAGTTTTGCACAAGAAATGACTACCACAGTATCAACTTGCTTATTTGAAATGAATCGTTCAGTTTTTTATTATACCTACAGGGTGTTTCTGAAATAAGTAGGAAGCTTATAGGAGGTGATACGTCACTCTAAAACAAGAAAATTGAGTAAATGGTTCGAAGAAACCGCATTTGAAAGTACAGTCCGGTCCTGGTAGAATCACGTAGGGAAATACGACATTACAACCCTGCATTCCATCAGCTCCAAAGCTCGATACATATTACACAAACTTCCGGTGTAGGCATCCTCTGCCAGATATTGATATCTTTGTGAAAAAAAAAAATTTCGAGCAATAAAAATTTAATTTTTGTGATGTTTCGTACTTATATTAAAAGTACTAGATCTTGAACATTACTTCAAATATTTAAAGCGAGTTAAAAGAGGAATTGGCAAGATCACCCGATGTAAATCGAGAATCCTCAATTTATAAGTTTAAAAAATTAATCAAAAGAAAAATATTGTATCAAAAATATAAACAGCAAATCGTTGTCAATTACATATTTATTTTTAATTGTACACATCAACATTATAGATCAATAGCTGGGCAGAATTGTTCCCTCACAGATTCCAAAACCGATCCTGTAACCATTTCCTTGGCAGAAACCTGTTATAGTTAATGTATCGCCGTCCTGTAAAAATTTTCTTTCGGTTCCATCGTTTAATTTTAATGGCTTAGAACCTTTCCATGATAATTCTAGTAAAGATCCATATGATTCTGGAACCTAAATATAAAACAAAGTCATAATTTTATTACAGTGATTTTACTTTTTTGTATCTAGGAAGTCAGATAAGTCAGAACGGAAGGAGTAGTAGGGATATAAAGCAGAGGATAGCGCAGGGTCGAGTGGCCTTCGATAAAAAGAAGTCAGTTCTATGCTCACGGACGATTAATTTAGAAATTTGAAAAAGATTGTTAAAGGTGTATGTTTGGAGCGTGGTGCTGTACGGGTGCGAAATACGGACGGTGGGCGCGGAAGAAAAGAAAAGGTTAGAAGCGTTTAAAATGTGGTGTTACAGGCGAATGATGAGGATACCGTGGATAGAGAAGGTTAGAAATGAAGAGATATTAGAAGGAATAGGAGAACAGAGGACTCTATGGAAGTCAATAAGAAATAGGCGAGATAGGTTGGTAGGACACTTTCTCAGGCATGAAAGTCTAGTCAGNGAGATATTAGAAGGAATAGGAGAACAGAGGACTCTATGGAAGTCAATAAGAAATAGGCGAGATAGGTTGGTAGGACACTTTCTCAGGCATGAAAGTCTAGTCACAGACATATTAGAAGCAGAAAGGGAAGTTAAGAGGGGTAGAGGTAGACCTAGATTAGATTACTGTTCACAAATAGTTAAGGATGTGAGTTGTTCTAGTTTTAGGGAAATGCGAAGATTAGCTCAGGATAGGAAAGAGTGGAGGTGCGTGTCCAACCACTCTTAGGACTGACGACCTTATGATGATGAAAGTCAAAAGTCAAAAATAATTACCTCGCCACTTATAGTACCACTAGCCATCAAATCTCCAGGATTAACATTACATCCAGTAACTGTGTGATGAGTGAGTTGTTGTTTCGATGTCCAGTACAAATATTTATAGTTTGATCGACAAATAGTAGTCGGTATTGATGCTTTTGCTGAAACGTTATTGGTTCACCAGTTGGAACAAAATTTTATTTTATTTTTGCTGCATGTACTTACGACATAATGCCACTTCTAATTGAATGTCATAGTTAAATTTATCGGTGTGTCGAAGATAGGGTAGGGGTTGTGGATTTTGTTGAAAATTGTCTGTTAAAAATGGCTGTAAAGCAAGGGTTGTAACAATCCATGGAGAAATGGTTGTTCCAAAGTTTTTCGCAGTAAAGGGACCCAGTGGCACATACTCCCATTTTTGAATGTCTCTAGCTAATATGAAAAACAAATCGTTGCTACACTTAAAAAGCAGGTTTTAGTGAAATGTGTAATTGATCGTTTATAAAAATGCCTAATCAAATAGTAAATCCGAAACGCCCACTTTACGGAAAATGATTTTTAAAAACAAGAAATGTCTTACAATTGAATAATTATCATAGGGTACACGTTTAGAAGTATACATTCCTTTGTCGCCATTTTTGATAATTGCATGTAACAAAATATCCCTTTCGATTCGGTTCTTAATTCACTTGTACTATATACAATACAATGATTAGGGAGTGGACGTCTTTCGCACATATAAGATCCGTAATTAGGCCGCCGATCAAATTTTTATGGTTTAAGAACTATGAAGTCGTACTTCAACGTGGAAGGGGAGCGAGGGCTAGTTGTAACAGGGGCAAGAAGCATTTTTTGTTATTATTATTGTTGACTTCAAATTGTTTAGCAGTTTTTTAATTTATTCAAATATATTTAGCATTTGTTTACTTCGATTATGTTGACTGTAATTTTACACCAAATAAGGGATATATTTTTTCATAAGAGTTATTTCAAAAAACCTTGCAGTGGGGTATATTCTACCATTTTCATGGGGCAAGTTGTAACTAGTTGTATTGATTTATTATTTCTATGAAATTACGTGGGACATATTTAAATTTCTTCTTCTCGTGTTTTTAATGCATCTTTGTTGAATTTAATTGATTTTAAAAGTAAATGAGAAGGTTTTAAAATCTGATTCAGAATCTGAACCCAAAAAATAGTTTTGTTTAGCTTATGGGGAATCTTATGATAATTCAAACGAGGAGTGGATACAACGTATAATGTGCAAGAAGTAGGCTTTCCAACAGGAGATATGATCTCATCTGTGTATTTTTAATTACGATGACTTGAAGACTGATTTCATATTTTACCTACTTTAATTAAAAGGCTAATTACTTAAGAAGTTGAGATTTTGCTGTTATAAATGGATGTGAGCCTAATGAGTTCCTTTTTAGTTTAAAAAAAGAAAGAAGATGTTTTTGTTCATATTTGAATATTTTTCTATTAAATTAAGGATGAAACATTAAAGCCATGTCTGTTTTAGAGCGTCTAAAGTTTCTAAAGCTAAATATGCTAAATAAATCTTTGAAAAATAGAAAATTGGTTTTCAATTCCTAGTGTTACAATTTATCCCAAGCATGTTACAACTAGCCCCAATCACGGGGTAAGTTGTAACACTCGTCGCTATTTTTGTAAGCCATTTTTACAAGAATTCGTCACAGGTTTGATGAAAATTTTATTTGAAATCGATAGTGGAATAATAGCTCATTCAAACAGTACTGCTGTATTTGCTAAATATCCAATAAGTAAGCTTCCACAGCCAAGAAACGAAAAATTGTTACAACTAACCCCCCATTCCCTTATATGTGACATCTCCCGCAAATGTGTTTTCACATCGGTTTCAACAAATAGTAGCTCAGCGTCCTAAATACTGTTCGTTTCAAGAAGTTGAAGATATGCCCCTTCGCTTTATTAGAATGCGCCGTAGCAGAATTCCAAATTCAATCATATTTGTCTGCGGAGTTCATTTCTCCACCGTTCATCGAGCGAGAACTAGACAAAAGTGTACAGTACCATTTGCAAAATTATTTAAACTGCCTCGTTAAAATTTAAGAAAATGCTTTATTTAAAAGCATATTTAGCCAAAAATAATAACAAGTGAATTAACTTAACGTTCTACACACCTATAAAACTTTTGCTTTGTTTTCTATTGTTAATTTATATACATTTTTGTTTTAAGAAATTGCTA